AGGGTATTAATTTATACAAAGCAATCTATATGGCATAGATGGCAAAGTGGGTGTTGTAGTCGTTTTTGGCGTGATGGACCTGAGTTCAAATCTGCCTTTTGCATTAATTAAAAAAATAAATAAATAAAATAATGAAGGAAAAATTTTAAAAGTTGAAAATAAGAGTATAGGGTAGGTGTAAGGAGGGCTTATATTGTCCCAATAAGGTGGCATCCATTTAATAATTTTAATACAAAATATAATTTACACTTGATATGTTATTATTGCATACTGTTTTATATTGTATGAGGTGCAGATAATTGCCACTATTTGCAACATATAGTATAAATAGCAGAAAATCCTGTTATTTTAACATAGAATCATTAATCAATTTTAACATTAGAATCTATAGCTTTTTGCATTTAGTGTAAATAGCATATCACTTAGAAAATACTGCTGTAAATACAATCCATTGCTATTTTCACTTAGCTTCTATCGTATTTACACTTAGTGCACATAACCGCTGCCAAAAACAAAGATCTTACTTAAAGAAAAGGTGGGACAAAAAGATGGGATTAAAAAAATAAAAAAATAAAAATGATCATACCCATAGCATATAAGAATGAATCATCTCACCTTAGAGCAAGTCAATTGTCAACTGGCATACAAACAATATAACACAGCCAAAATGAGAACTATAATTTTAGTATCACGGATGTATGCTTATTTAATGTATTTTTCTGAAATGATAAATGCTTCAATATCTCTTGCAAGTAAAGTGTAAAGCGGTTGAAACTCCCACCATGGTTTGAACATTCATGGATAAATATTTGCATGATCTTGTGGTTGTCAACTACAAACCAGTCTAAGCTCATTGTCACAGTCTACACCCATGTGTGCTGTTGGCTTTCATCACTATTTTAGTGCTGATCCAACACATTTGAAACACTGAAATGTCACTCTCAAGCAAGATGATGGTATGGATCAAAACTCAAACATGCATCATCCTGAGAAAATGTATACAAACTTCAAAAACTTTTTTAGATAAAAAGATTTTTATGTTCTTCCTTCATTTAGGTATAAATTAACAATACAATCATACTCACACTTATATATCTGCATTGACTTAAGTTGATGTTTCCAATAAATAGGAGTAAAAATCTGAGGTTTTAAAAGTTTGGTTTGTTTGTTCTCATATTTATTTGTTACAAATAAATGATGATAAATGATTTCACATTTTTTACTTAAATGTGCATTTCAGGTAATCATTTGTTGCAGTCCTGATAATTATGAGGTGTTTGTCAATGGAAAACAAACTCACACTTACAGCCATCGCTACAATAAACTGGAGGAGATTGATGTTTTAGAAGTTAGTGGAGATGTGCAGCTGGGCTTTGTGCATCTCTGATAAGGATTCCATACACGTCTATAAGAAATATGTTCAAACCCTGAATAAATTAAAGAAAAAATAATAATGATAATCTGTGTTTCCATATGCAAAGATATTTTGCTTGCATGCATATAAATCTGATTCCCATGTGATTATCCACAGCTTCAGCACTGTTATGTTTAGTCTACTTGTAATGTGTAATATTTAAGTTCTCTCATTCTAATGCTAAGTTTTAAGTTGTGATAGCTCATTTTTACAGTAAATAATTTTAAGCGAATACACAAACTCTTCTGTGTGTGTTGGTCCAGATTATTTTAAATATGTCTACAGACACAATTTGTTAGGTTGCACAATAAAATAATACCTGTGTAAAACAACACAGATGTTAAACTTGACTAACATTTATTTGTACATTTTTTTATCCCTCCTTTCTTATTTTGAATGCCTCTGATCCACCCACATTCATAAAGCAAACAAATATTCAAAAGTTTATAATTACGACCCAACAGAAATGCTCCTGATCACTAGGGGACGGCGTTGAGCTGTAAATGTCATGGAGGAACTTTTGCCTTGTCCAAATACCCACACTTCCGGTCTTTGCACTTACCACTTATATGACATATTTCCTGTATTTGGCCCATATTTGGTATACCGCCCCTTAGTCTGTAAACTTCCACTCAAGGCACCGTCATTTGATTTCGCAAGCGACAACGGTGTACCAGCTCTAATGCCATGGCGAAAGTTTTGCGCAAAACATGCTAACTGTTCTGTCTTTGGCTGCACAGACGAGCACAGAACACTGTTTAGAGTCCCAGCCTCAGAGGAGACAAGAGAGCAGTGGATTTATTGATTTATTTACTGTATATTGCTGCTGCCACACAGATCTAAAATAAACAAGCGATTTATTTCCCAGCTGTTTACCTTCACAGACATAACCGACTGTTTTTGTAACTCGTGTGTGTTTTTAACGTAAACTTGTGTGTGAATGAGAACTTAGTTTAGTACTCACATGCTGTGACAGCCGCTTTCTGTCCGTGTGCTTCGGATGTGTGCGCTCAGAAAACCATATATCAGAAGTTTAAACTCATATGGTATAAAACGCATGATTTCAGCGTGATAAACATGATAATCAGAACCAAAATAGATGTTTTTAGCAGATACGAGCTGTAAAGGCGCAGCTAGGGTTAGGGTTAGGGTTAAACCCTAACCCTAAGCTAACCTAACCTAACCCTTCTGGAAAAAGGGGCGGGGAGCAGCAGCTCATTTGCATTTAAAGACACAGGCCCGCAGAACAGTGTGTTTCTGCTTCCACTCAAAATAGGCATTTTCAAAATTATATAATAAATGATCTGTGGAGTATTTTGAGCTGAAACTTCACAGACACATTCTGGGGACACCAGAGACTTATATTACATATTGTAAAAAGGGGCATAATATGTCTCCTTAAATAATAATCCATACGGAGAAGAAAACTTCATGCCGTTTGATCAAATGCATACTTATAGAATACAAAAGGTAAAAATCTCCCCTAAAACGTAAGCCTGTAGTGTATTAAGTCACAAGGTTATTGTTCAGGCCTTCATTCTCAACACAAACACAAGGGAATCAATAATTTGGAGTCAGAGAAGGTTTCTCATGTACAAGAATAGGCTCTTTAAAAGGCTTCCCAGCATGGTGGCAATTATTATGTGCGCTCTTTTCTAAAAAGCCACTTTCTGTCCGTGTGCTTCGGATGTGTGCACTCAGAAAACTGTATATCAGAAGTTTAAACTCATATGGTATAAAACGCATGATTTCAGCGTGATAAACATGATAATCAGAACCAAAATAGATGTTTTTAGCAGATACGAGCTGTAAAGGCGCAGCTAGGGTTAGGGTTAGGGTTAAACCCTAACCCTAAGCTAACCTAACCTAACCCTTCTGGAAAAAGGGGCGGGGAGCAGCAGCTCATTTGCATTTAAAGACACAGGCCCGCAGAACAGTGTGTTTCTGCTTCCACTCAAAATAGGCATTTTCAAAATTATATAATAAATGATCTGTGGAGTATTTTGAGCTGAACCTTCACAGACACATTCTAGGGACACCAGAGACTTGTATTACATATTGTAAAAAGGGGCATAATATGTCTCATTTAAAGCGCACACTCAAATGCTCACGAAGAAGAGCGCTTGTGTGTTCGGCTGAGTAATGTAAGTGTTTAAATATACTTGCACATCGGCTTTTATGCTTCATTCTGGGGACACCAGAGACTTATATTACATATTGTAAAAAGGGGCATAATATGTCACCTTTAAATACTTTGCATTTTAAAATCAACTTCAAAATTTCTGTTCAGTAGTCCCAATAACGACATAATTGAATTTGTGGTGCTTCTAATTAAGTATGTAAAGCAGTTGCAAATGTTGTACAAAATCAATATCACCACTACTCATCTTTGCACCAGTAAAACGTGCAACACTTTCATTTTAATTAATAATTTTTACCAAATTATATGTAATATCTCATTATTAGATTAATATTTAACTTTCATTGGAAAGGTTTCTGTGACCTCTCGCGAGATCTCGGCAAATGCTCTCTACTCTCCTCTCTTCTCTCTATCTGTCATCTTTTTGTTGTTGTTTTTTCTGCCTCTCTCACTGGCAGACTAGAGGATTTTCCAACCTCACCTACCAGCACAGCCAAGCAGGAGTTCCTGTATGTCTAAGTTTCCTTAGTAACCTTGTCCAGTCCTTCATGACCATTCATAACATCTCCATAATATTTGTATGTCGCAGTCCCTTCCATATGTCAAATATATACTATATAGTATATACCTTTCACTCTTACTAATCCAAATGCTCTCCTGCTCTGAATCCCTTTCATATAAATGGTTCACAGGATTATATAGTGTCTTCAGTAGCGGTCATTGAAATCATAACATCCCCATGACACTAATTTTACAGTCATATTTACTTTAATGCATTGTTCCATTGCCTAGTCCAGTGGTAGGCAAGTTGGGTCTTAGAGAGCCGCTCCAACCGTAATCAAACACACCTGAACAAGCTAATCAATGTCTTCAGGATTACTAAGGCTATAGGCAGGTGAGTTTTGTTTTCAGGGTTGGAGCTGAACTCTGCAGGACTGCGGCTCACTAGGACCGAACTTGCCAACCCCTGCACTAAGCCTTGAATAGCGCTCCGGATTTAGTGTGCGTTAAGGGCACTGCGCTTTGGGGTTTTTAAGACCTGGGACAGTCTTGCGCATGTAACCCCTCTCTCCCGGGTCCTCACCACCACACCTCGTTCTTGCTCCGAGTGGGTCTCGAACCCGGGTCTCCGGTATATATTTATATATATATTAAACTCTATATGTTGACATGAAATGTGGCACTTAACCTAACTTATTGAAGAGCCACAGAATTCATATTTCATATATACTATGGAAACCCTGAACCGCAACGTGGAGGAAAAAAATTAAAATAAATCAATGTGGGAGGAAAATATAGTGTCTTGAATACTTACAGAAACAACTAACTAGTGGTAGGAGCATTATATCATATTTTAGGCAGTATATTATGTTGTTGTTTTTGTTTCTGATTATAATGCAACTAGTGCTGTCAAAATGTCCTCTGTGAATTTCCTTGAGTGGCCCAGCCAGAGCTTGAGTTTGAACCCAATCAAATATTTCTGGAGAAACCTGAAAATGTGCGTCTGCCCCCATCCAACCAGACAGAGCTTGAGAGGTGAAGAGATGAGGAGAAGAATGGCAGATAATTGCCAAATGATGATGAGCAAAGCATCATACACAAAAAGACTTGAGGCTGTATTTGGTGCCAAAGGTGCTTCAACAAAGTATTGAGCAAAGGCTGTGAATACGTATGTACATGTGATTTTTCTGTTTTTCATTTTTAATAAATTTGCAAAGATGTCAAATAAACTTCTTTCACGTTGTCATTATGGGGTATTGCTTGTATAATGAATAATGAATTTAATCCATGTTGGAATAAGGCTGTAACATAACAAAATGTGGCAAACGTTATGCGCTGTGAATACTTTCCAGATGCACTGTATACGAATTTATTAACTGTTGACACATTCATGTAGTAGAAAAGTATAGTCATAAATGCCTACACGTTATTTGCATTACTAGCCTGATCGGTGTCTACTGATTTAAACAAAAAGGTATTGATGCACATGTTTTCAGTTTACTGACTTCTAACACAGTTCTCTGTTGTTGAGACAATAACAGATGATATTGTAAGGACAGAGGTGTAGGTGGAAATATAATGCGTGCAGGTCTTTTACTTGCGTTTCTGCAAAGTGTACCTAATTAGTTTGGATTTAGTGTCAGTTTGATTCTAGCTTCATGTTTAATCTAAGTTCAATTTCAAGTGACCGTTAAATTTAGGTCTAATTAAGAAATATTAGAAAATATTGGTCATGAAAGAATTAAAATATTTGATAATTAAGGACATCCCGGACATCACGGATCTCATGATCACAAATTCACAGGCCAGTATTTTAGTGAAGTACTTACACAACACAAGAAATTAATAGATTAACAGTAAACTGACCTGCATAAAATTAAATAACAACATTCTCATCTTCGTTTACAATGGTGAAATGCTCCTGATCACTAGAGGTCGCTGTTCCAGAAAGTTTCCAGCTCAACACCACCCTCTAGAGGTCAGGAGCAATTCTGCTGGGTTGTGACTATATTCTTTTTGAATGCTTTATAAATTTGTGTTGATTAGATACAGTCAAAATACGTTAACTAAGAAAGGGCAGATAAAACAAGTATATGACAGTAATATGTAACAAATTGTTCCTTTTTTTACAGGTATTAATTTGCTCATGCAATCCAACAAATTGTGTTTGTAGGCATATTTTATAGAATTGTTTACATGCACAGATAACACACATAAGTTGGACACATGCATGCAGAACAGTGTTTATTCATTTTTTGTTTTTATGCAGCTGTGGACAGTCCCACTGGTCTCATATTAATATGCAGGCAAGCAAAACATCTTTGCATTTGAATAATCATCTTTGGCATACAGGTTTATATAGACTGATGCAGGTTTTGAACATGTATTTCTCATAGATCTGGATGAAGTCTTTGTCAGGGCTGCACAAAGCTCAGCTGCACGTCTCCACGAATGTCTAAAACATCAATGTTCTCCAGATTACTGTAGCGATGGCTGTAAGTGTGAACTTTTTCACCGTTGGAAAAGACCTCGAAATTTTGATGAGTGCAGAAAATGGTGACCTGAAACACACAAACAAGACAAGGATGTGAAATCACTAAATACACATATCACCCCAAATCTATTGCACATATGTCTACATTTTCCTTTTTAACAACGTCTACCTGCAGTGGTTGCCCTCTTTTAAACGGCATGCATCCACATTGTTCCTCCTTGCCCCATGTCCCATCATCATAAGTGTTGCATACAACCACATTCTCATCAAAACGAAGACTGTATTCCAACGCAATTCCAGTTATGTACCGTAGTTTAAAACATATCCTGTTGCAGAACGGAAAGTAGAGGAAATTATATCTTTATATCATGGATCATATGGAGAATGTGTACATCCCAACAGCATGTAAAACCATTTTAAAACAGATCTATGATCTTTTTTGTGTCAAACCTTTTTGCTTGTGGGCTGATGACTCCTTGGATGATGATGACTTTGCCAGGCTGTACTCCACCATAGATTATGCTTTTGTACGGCATTGTCTCATTGTGGGTCAAAGAAATTAAAGATATTTATAATATACTGAAATGCAATATTGTATAGCACACTAACTGTTTAGTCCCTCATCAAACTTGAATTCAAATCCACTTTAAATATAATGCATAAATTAATTGTATTCAAGATATTTTAAGAATGCATTGTAAAAATGTAATGTCCAAACAACAAATAGTATTCCTACAATAAAGTATGACGATAATAGCAGACACTAATAATAACAGAGAACTACCACATATCTTTTGAAGCTTCGTGTCAGTGCAATGCATTATGCCACTGATGAAATAAAAGTGCTAGTAACTCTTCAAAAACTAAAATCGAAACACTCTTGATTACCACAAGATTGTCCTCACCACGTCTTTCATGATTTATGTGACAGAATTATTATTAGAGATTTACATTGATTATTTATCTGCCAAACATTTAACTTACAAAAGATCCTGGAGGTGCGGCATAATGGGGCTGTAAAGGAAACAGATGAATGCAGATGTTTAGGACAGGAACGCATGTCATTTAGGTTTGGAGGTTTTTAATTTCAGTTTCAGTTAACACAAGAAAAACTGAATCATTTTCAAAATGCTACTGTTGTTGTGTCACGAATTGTAGTTTTAAGTAGTGGAATATAGTTGTTTAAAGCTCAAAACTGTGATTTGTTTATAAAGATAAGCCCCTGTTTCGAGTTGTGAGGTTCAGGCAATCACCGGCACCAGTGGCGTGTTCCTCGCTGAGAACGGCCTTAATTATGTAGCCTTACTTTTGTATTTTTTAGTGCTGGGCAATGATTAATCGCATCCAAAATAAAAGTTTTATATATATATATATATATATGTGTGTGTACTTTGTATATTTATTATGTATATATAAAAACACATATAGTATATATTTTGAAAATATTTACATTTACATGTATATATTTATATTCATGTAATTTATATTATGTATTAATTTATATTAATATATAAACATAACATGTTTTTTTTCTTAAATATATACATGCATTTATGTGTATTTATACATAATAAATATACACAGCACACACAAATATATTATGTACACAAAAAAAAAACTTTTATTTTGGATGTGATTAATCATTGCCCAGCACTGGTATTTTTGTTTTAACTGAATGTTTTAAGAGCTGTGCTTTTTGAACAAATTGCTTGCTTGTCTTTTATGCACTATACATTATGATTATTTGATAAAATCTCTTTTGTGGGTTAGCATACTAAGCATTGGTCACTCTGTTAGTGATTTTATATTGAGCATATTTTAAGGAGCTGAGGCTCTGTGCAGCTTTATCTGAATATGTCTTTAACAATATTCTGTTCAAATAGGAATGTGTTAAAATGAGAATAATTTCCCACTTCCGTTTACCATTTTTTATATTATATTATGTCTTATTTTATAATCACTGTGATCCAATTTTAGTTTTCACATTTCATTTCATTTTTATTTTATGTTTGTATTTTAAATGTAATTAAAGTTTTAGTAATTTTGTTGTGTTTTGTCATATTAATATTTTAGTTAAATATGTCTACAAAGTTGTTTTTATTTAAATATATATATATATATATATATATATATTTTTTTTTTTATATATATATAGTTTTGTCAGCTAGGTTTGTTAGGATATGACAATATTTGGCTGAGATACAACTATTTGAAAATCTAGAATCTGAGGGTGCAAAAAAATCAAAATATTGAGAAAATCACCTTTAAAGTGATCCAAATGAAGTCCTTAGCTATGTATATCACTAATCAGAAATTAAGTTTGAATATATTTATGGTAAGAAATTTACAAAATATCTTCATGGAACATGATCTTTACTTAATATCTTAATGATTTTTGGCTTAAAAGAAAAATCTATAATTTTGACCAATACATTGTATTGTTGGCTATTGCTACAAATATACCTGTGGTCCATAAGACTCCAGGTGTGCTCCAGGGTCACATAGTGGTGAAATTTTCAAGAGCATTCTTTAATATATATTTCTCACCGCAAGATACTGGAAGGCAACTAAATTCAATTCAACTTTTCCAAACACATAGATGTGGTCCACACATGAGAACGGCATACGGTGCTTGTACTCAAAGAAGGGTTTCCCGTCAAAAAGATAGTTATACTTCTATTGCAATAAAAGAGGCCTGTAGTTTTGGATAATAGAAATGCATGGGGAAAAATGGTTTCCAGACAGAATAGCAGAACTTAAGCAGTGTCAGTAACCTTGTATGACTCCTGGGTGACGAGGATCTGCAGAGCAAACGCCTAGCCTCTTGGGACGGGAGTTTTGTACTCATGTTCTTCTTCGCCCCAGACACCTTTCTGATTGGTGTAGTGCACGACGAACCCAGATCCTCCTTCATAGCGAGGGTTAAAATGCAGTATGACATCAGACCCATACTGAAGGTTCACCTCCAATCTTGTGAAGACAGATTAGAAAGAGTAAAATAATTAAAAACGTATTTGGTGATTGTATTTTCAAAATACGCATTCAAGTTACATATATACTTTGCATGTGCTGCTTTAACTATTAAGAAACTTGAAGTGCATAAAGAAGTGTAAAACACAACAAAAACATATTTCTGGTAAATCTGTGGTTGACGAGTTGAAGCACATTCATGTCGTTTTACAGAGAGACTGTTACTCACGCGTCTGCATTTGGCCAAACCCGTCAACATACAGTAATACTCATGCCATCCTGCAATCCTCCCTGGATTGGAGTACTGAACGGGACACTCTGTGTGAAAGATTTACATACCATTTTCATACATCTTAAAAAATGCATACTTGCTCTTCTTTGCACATTAATGTTAATGGTAAAAAAAATAAAAAATAAAATTCCAGAAAATGCATAATGTTTTAAAACACTCTTCTTCTGATTATCTATATCAGCAATCCAGATCAAAGTGTGAGGTATCTAGTGTGAGCATATTTCAACATTTATCTTGTTTATCTCTTATCTTAATGTTTATCTCAACATTTCAGTGTGTTTGTCTAGAGATGAAGCTAACATATGCAGGACAGTGACTCTTCTGGAACGTTAGAACAGAGTCTGTATTCTCTAGTCTACACACACACACACACACACACACACAGATTGTAGTTTCTTCCTGTTTGTCCCCTCAGTAGTCTTTATTGTAAACTGCTGTGTCTAGTTATTCTTGTAAACCTTTGTATTTATAAATGATCAAGTATTGGCTGTTATTCTGATAGACTCACTTTATGTTCCTTCTTGTTGTTAAAGTTAAAAACTCAGGGCTAAATAAGTAATTTAGTTTTACTGATTGAAGAATTTAGTATATGCAGTACTGAAAGAGTTCCAATGTGATAACTCATCAGAAATAATTAGACCAGCCTAAGGGGGTGAATTCTTGTGCTGAAATATATGTGTATTTATATATATATATATATATACATTTCTAAATAAAACAAGATTATTGAAGTGCAATTGACCATTTGACAGTTATTTATTTGTTAAATTTACTAGAAACTTCTGAATGAAAATTGGTTCAAAGTAAATCCTCCATTTTTTATATATATATACATTTATAATATATATATAAATTATTTTTTTATAAAACATTCAACATATTGTCAATTGACATGAACTGAAATGAATCATGATTTCAAAATAACTGGTGACTTACCGGGTTGAAAAATGGTGGTTGCTGATGCAGAGCCATTGTGTTAGATTTTAAAGTTTATCTTTAATCTTGTATTCAAGGCTGAAGGATGACTGAAGCTCCACTTAGAGGTTTCAGAATTAATGTAATGTGGTCTGTCCTTGAGTGCGCAGTTGTTGCCAGTTTTCTTCAGCAAAGAATGCACGATCATGTGAATAAATGAACACACACGCAGAGAGTGTTATGATCAAACTTTCTTCAGAGATTTATTGTTTTAGGCATTGGTTTATATACCTTCATAAATGAAGAAATATCATCCCATCGGATTCTCACCCAATGAAATTAACTCTTGCCTTTTAAGGAGTCAAAATGAGCAAAATAGGTTAGTGGGTCCCAAACACATTCCTGGAGGCCCTCTAAAGCCCGAAACACAAAGCACGATTTTGGGCTGTCCCAGACGAAAGATTGGCATCGTGAAACAATCGTAGCGATTTCTGTGATCGTGGCTTCTAATCAGTGGTCCTGTGTCGTACAGTGAGAGAGTTTCAAAGACAGCAGTTGTCACGGTCTTGCGACCAAAGATAGCCTGCGATACAGCATGATCATCGCACAGTGTGTTTGCTGCTACGATCCACGTTTACTGACCAACCAATAAAAATGCGACATGAAATCAACACGACATGGCGCTAAAACATAAAACTGCTTACCTCAAGCTCCTATCCCTTCCTCTTTCTCTGCTTCCACTTTTTTTCAGCACACATAAAAACTACAACTGCTAAAGTGTGATTTGTCATGCTCTTTTTGTTTACCACTAGCGCAGTCTGATGACGTTTTATTCTTCTATTGTAACGTGCTTGATCTTATAGTATTGCTAAAATCGTGCAGTATGTCTGAGGCTTAACACTGCATTTTTTCAAGTTTCCTTAATCAAACACACCTTTTTCAGCTCATCAGCTCATTACTAGAGACTTCAAGACCTGAAATAGGTGTGTCAGTGGTTGCACAGTTAAAGTTTATTGTAAATTCATAAGGGAGAAAAAAAGTAGAAAGTAAATCAGCTCCATAGCTGATTCCAAGTAATCAAGGGCTTAGGATGTTCCAAGAAATATGTTGCAATGACATACATCGGGGTCAACGAGATGGAGGGAGGAAAGGGCATAAAAAAAATGAAAGCACCCCTTGAACACCAGGGAAGGCTTAGCAAACAGCCTCAACCTTCAGTGAGTTTTAATAACACTTATCAGCAGCAACTCCTGCACTCCTTCTATTACTCTTTTAACAGTGCTACATACATCAACCACAATGTGCCACTGACATCTATTTAGCACCCCTCAAGCCTGAGATATAGTTTCAGAATGCAGCACTTCTGAACAGTTGACTAAAACGTTGATCAATATGGCAACACACTACTTGGGCATTTCCTAGTACTAGGGATACAGATCCTGTGCTCTTTTGAATTAAGCATTACAGCCATTTTGGTCCATATCCAAAATTCCTGGTACATACAATACTTCTAGTGATGTCTTCAGTTTGATCCAGGTTTGCTGTGTTTGATTTAAAGGGTTTCTGTTGAGTATTGTGGGTTACCATTGTGCTGAAGAGTAGAGTCTGTGTGTTTTTTTTTTATCACTTAATGCAGTTGAGTTCCAGATAAACAAGTTACTTGAGTGCTTTCATTTTATATTAAGAAATATTATTTTTAGTGGACTCAAATTAAATACGTTCACAATAATAAAATAGTTCCATGATTAACAGCATAAATATTAGTTTTTTAACTTTTTTTGACTTTTTAAATGAACATCACATGATATAAGACCAAATTCTTTTAAATAACTTGCTGCTGCTGAACTGCACCTTTGTGTCTAATGCAGTAGTAATTCGGGCAGTATAAATGTTACATAAATTGGCTAGTTGTGTTTCACTGTCAGTACATGCAGGTTGCCTGAGGCTGCCATTTGAGTCTTTCAATCTTTCATTATTGGCTTCTAAAAACTTTCACTTTCATGTTTCATAACTCCCTATTTATAGTCAAATTTCACGTCTGTGCCAGGGCTTTGTATGTACATGCATTGCATGGTAAAAAGGCCATTGTGTTCAGGCAATTAGGTTTGTGAAATGTAAAGGAATGAATGAAGGAATTAATTAAACAAACAAAGCAAACAAACAAATAAATAAATAAATAGCAACAACAACCTACTTTGAATTCCATTACAATTCATCAATAATTTGTTTATTATATGATCCTCTGGACCCAGTTGTTCAAAAGTAATCCAGTGGGATTTCGGATCACGGATTGGATCAAATCTTGGAAATGGGTTTTTCAAAAGCAAAAGAGGGATTCCGAACTAAGATCAGATCATGTGATCCGATCTTACATTTGATCTGGATCAAACCTGCCCTTTGGGTTATTCAAAACTTTGAACTCGGTTTGGGATCTATTTGATCCAAAAAAACAGGATTATCCTGATCCCATCAGAAGGGTGGACTCAGTTGTGATTTTTCGAACCAAATAAAATCAGAGTTTTTTTTTTTAAGGGAATGATCACAAAATCAATGTTTACTGAATTACTCACGGTTGCTTTTCTCACTCCCATATTGTCACCAATTACTTGGTAGAAAGTCCCACATGCGTAAAAGCACAGAGCGATTAAGCACTGTTCCTCCACGGATAAAGCATGACTCCTTTGGGTTTGGTGTTGGAGTGTTGGCCTGACAAGATCTGCAATGTACTTAATGTCATCTCTCCCAAAGCGAAAACGTGCATACAGTTCTTCTGATGTGTATTGCTCGAGTGGTTTGGCACGCTCAGCATGCACCCTTTGACGGTACCTTCTCCTACGGTAACGATGAACAATACCCGCCATGTGGATGCCTCTGTAGGTTAAAAGAAATGGGTGCAAAGACATGATGTGTTTAAATGGTGTCACACATTAACCAGCAATGAGCTGATTGGTGTAAGCCTAATTGAGCACAAGCCAAAGCAATCATGCTCAAGGCTTTTAAGATCAGTGTTGGCTACACCAAAGAGTTGGAACCATGGACTCAAAAGGGCCTAATTTCACTGTGGCAGAAACCTGTGCACTGCTGGAGGGTGTTCGGGCCAATTTTGCCTCAATAGTAGGAGGTTTCAGCTCTGCAAAGGGTGGAGAAGTGACCAAAAAAGGAAAACACAACATTTGGGAGGACATAACCAATCATGTCAATGCCATGGGGTCTGGCCAAAAGAGGACCATAAAACAAGTTATGTTGCGATGGAAGAACCTTATAGGGCCAAGACAATGAAAGACCTTACTGAAGCCAAGAACCCCGAAACAGGTAACAAGCCATATAAGAGGGGTGATTTCACGGATATGGTCCTTGATATCATAGGAGGAGAAAAATCAGAGGCTCTGCATGGCATTGAAGGCATAGAAGCAGATGGAGAGGCCACAAGTACTAGGACTTCAGAAGAATGCGAGCAAAATTCTCCTGCAGAGGAAATGTTTGTCCTGGACTTAACTACAGTGATTGAGGAGGAAGATAGATCCCCAGTGGATGTAATGAAGACAGTCCAAGACGTTCCTACAAGAAAACGCAAACGTTCCTCAGCTACAAACCAGGATGGTGACAGCTATGAGTTGCTTCTGAAATGGGAAACCGAAAGAGCAGAAGTACAAATTGAACTGGGTAAAGAACAAATCTTGCTTGCCCAACTGCAGCAGAAAAAAGTGCAGATGGAGATACATCTCCTAAAGGCAGAGACGGAAAGAGCTGGTATCTGTCCTGTAAATGATTTTTGACTATTGGATAGTATTGTTTTTGTTTTGTTATTTAACATTATAACAAAATAAGGAATGTAAAATGTTTCTGTTTGTTACAGTGTTTCTGTTTCTTACAATTAAAACAAACAATGGCTATTTGTGGTCACCGGTATTTTGCGTACCTGTTGTTCTTTGCTAAGCCAGTAGGCTACACTGTTGGTTCCATTTAAGGCTCTGGTAAACAGGATTTGGTAATCCTGAAATTTGGTATTTGGATCACAGTGATCCAATCCAATGTTCCTTTTAAAAACTGGAATAAAAGTAAACTGGATCAGGTGATCCTGGATAGCAAGACATGGGATTTCCAAATCCGGATCAATTTGATCCAGATTCAATTTTTTGAAAAACTGGGCCCTGAAGATCCTGCAGTTTTTATATAGTCCACTATATAAATGGATGTACTTGGGGTGTATTTAGTTCCATTAGTTCTTAATTAAAATATCCCATATATTGATACTAGACTGTACTAATACAGAAGATCAGAAGTCATTTTAAAAGATGAAGTGAAGTTACATGTAGATCTGCTGGTGTCACTCTATTGCCTGTGGCTGTAGTCATGATTGTACTTGCCACGGAAGAGGCAAGCATCAGCTCACTACATACTTTCACAACTACTTTTTAATTTATGCAAATTGTGCTTTTTGGCACATGTGCTCAAAAAATTATAATATAGTTTTCTAACATTTGCACGATAGATACTTATGTGGTTTGCCTTTCAATCGGCACATTGCTGATCCAAACTAATGAGTTGATTCTAAGTGAAAGTGTCACACTTTTCACTTCTTCTAAACATTCATTATATGAGCCAAAAGTTATCTATTCAGTTACTAAACTTGCCCACAGAAATAATGTACTAGAAATGTGAGTTTTCTTTAAGTCAAGTCACCTTTATTTATATAGCGCTTTTAACAATACAGATTGTGTCAATCTTGTGTCAGTCTGTAGTTAGAATATCATTTGTAATTGTAAGGGTTTAATAATAAGTGTTTCATTATGGTTACACATGAATTGGTTTCCAAATGGCTGAAGGATGATAAAACATACAGTTAATTGTATCCAGCATGTGAGTTTTTCATTTTAAACACTAAAAATATATTTTAGACAGTTTTATTCCACTGAAATTCTTTAAAAAAATGTTTTTAATGTCATTTTTTTTTGGTGTAAATAGCCAGATTAATGTAAGTATCAATTGCAGTATGGATAAATACTGTGAAGGAGTTGTAAAAAGGGTATTCTAGAAATAATGCTTTTAGAAATTGTGAAGAATTTGCAGGAGTAATTCAGACCAGAGTGCTATTGTCTGTAAGACCCTCTCTACTCATCCCTGTGTTACAGCTTCTACAATTTTTGCTGCTGCTGCAATAACTGATACTCCAGCTGCTGCTCCCATTATGTTCATTCTTACAGCTCCTAGTCCAATCCCATCACTGGTTGCCAGTGCAACTGCAACCACT